TGTTTGTTGACAACACTCAACAAGAAATCAATGAGGAACCAACACAAAAGAGAAAAAGAGTAGGCAAAACAAGGTCCGATTGTTGGAAATCATTTGAGAAGATTTTTATTGATGGAGTTCGGCATGGAAAGTGCAAATGGTGCGAGAGGGCTCTCAAAGCCGACGGGAATAATACCGGTACGTCTAGCTTAAATAAGCATGCAAAGAATTGTAAAAAAAACCCCGAGAATTTGAAAAACCAACAAACATTACAATTTAAAAAAGAACCAACCGGGGAGGGTAGTGTTAGCACTTGGAAACATGACGACAAACGAATTAAAAAGGCTATGTTGAATTTATTTGTAGTGGGTGGTCTACCTTTTAAATTTGTAGAAAATGAGGCCTTTATTGAATACACAAACGCACTAAACGGGAAGGTGATTGTACCTTGTCGAACAACAATTTCAAAAAAAGTGTCACTTTATTATCAAGAAGAAAGAAATAAGTTGGTAACATTCTTATGTAATCCACTTAACACGATTCATTTGACCACCGATTGTTGGACAAGTCCGAGTAAAAGGGTGCATTATATTGTCATTACCGCACACTTTATTGATGATAATTGGGAGATGCACAAAAGGATAATCAACTTTAAAGAATTAGATAGTCAACGGGGGGAAGATATCGGAAAAGAAGTGTTGAAATGTATTCAAGGGTGGGGTATTAAAAATGTCATGACTTGTAGGGTTGATAATGCAAGTTCTAATGACAAAGCAATAGAGTTTCTAAAAAACAAATTACCAAACTTGTACAATGAAGGAAAACACTTTCACATTAGGTGTATGGCACACATTATCAATCTAATTGTGAGAGACGGGATGAATAAAAATGACGAGAGTGTTAAATGTTTGCAAGACGCCGTAAGATATATTAGAAAGTCCACACAACGGATTGCTCTATTTAAAAAGTGCATGAAAGCCGTCGGGGTGGAATCAACCAAATTTTTGTGCAACGATTGTCCCACTCGTTGGAACTCAACTTACGACTTATTGAAGATCGCGGTGGATTTAGAAAAAGCTTTCTATGAGTATGAAATGGAAGGTAATTTTTTTTTCTGCATTCTTGCTGAATTTTTAGCTCTATTTAAATTGTCATATCTACTTCGTTATGAGTCCGTTTGGGCTGATTTTTTTTTAAATTATAGTTCATTGTTTGGCAATAGTTATAGACTTTGGAAACACCTAATTTGCATGTGTTTTGAGTAAGTTACAGCCCTCCAAAAATGATATATCAAAGCTGTTTTGAATATGTTAACAGCATTATTTTATAATTTTTCGTTAACTTTAAGCTATCATATCTACTTCGTTATGAGTCCGTTTGGGCTGATTTTTTTTTTAAAATTATAGTTCATTGTTTGGCAATAGTTATAGACTTTGGAAACACCTAATTTGCATGTGTTTTGAGTAAGTTACAGCCCTCCAAAAATGATATATCAAAGCTGTTTTGAATATGTTAACAGCATTATTTTAGAATTTTTCGTTAACTTTAAGCTGTCATATCTACTACGTTATGAGTCCGTTTGGGCTGATTTTTTTTTTAAATTATAGTTCATTGTTTGGCAATAATTATAGACTTTGGAAACACCTAATTTGCATGTGTTTTGAGTAAGTTACAGCCCTCCAAAATAATATATTAATTTTTCTTTTGTAACATTTTTTTGATAGATCGTTCCTTTGCACGAGATGTGGTAACCCCCGTGAGTGAAGATTTTGTAACTTTTCGAGCAATGGTCTCCTTTCTTGAGAAGTTCAAGGTGAAAACAGAATTGGTGTCGACGACTTCAAAACCATTGGTAAATCGGTTTTTTGGAGAAGTATGTGGCATTTACAAACATATACGGGTTTGGTCAAAAAACAAACGATTTTATTCAATTGGGAAGGATATGATAGACAAATATGAGAAGTATTGGGGAGATTTTGAAATTTTGAATGACTACATGTACTTTGCGACTATCTTGGATCCGCGAATGAAGACAGAATTTCTTAGACATGCTTTTGAAACATTGATCAAGTACAAGATGCCGGAAAATAAACCCCTTTCCGAATTAGATATTACTGCGAAGACTAAGTCTTTAATCAAGGATATTGAATCGAGATTTGAGAACTTTTTTAATTGTTACAATACCAACTCTAATGTACCATTTGAAACCGGTGGTAGTCAAGATGCTGTGCATATTGATGATGATGACGACTTTGTGGGTGACTATTTTGCTCAATCGGTGAATTCATCGGCTTCAAAGGAAACGAAATTAACACGATACTTGAACGAAGGACAAACCCAAGGCGTTAAGGACTTTGATATATTGGTTTGGTGGAAAAATAACGCATCTCGTTACCTAATTCTGTCGCGGATGGCAAAAGGTATAATTTTAATTACTTATATTTTTTTATTATAATGTAGTATAATTTAACATTATATGTTTATGTTATTAGATCTTTTGGGCATTCAAATATCTACCGTGGCTTCCGAGTCCGCTTTTAGTACAAGCGGTCGCATAATTGATAGTTACCGAGCAAACTTGTCCGCACCTATAATAGAGGCTTTGGTTTGCACCCAAGATTGGGTGAGGAAATCAAAGAAGCCAATTGTTGACAACATCGATGATATTCTTAAAGATGATGACATAGCTAAAGGTAGCAAACAAATTCATTTTATTATCTAATAACAAAACATTGGTTATATGCTAACTTTCATATTAATTTTTTTTATGATATGTATTAGAGTTGGAAGACGCCATACGCACCCAAAATGGAAATGGAAAAAGGCCGATAGATATTAACGAGTAGTTATACTATTTTTGTTTTTTTTTTTGTTTTTTTTGTCGATAAATGATTATTGGTTTGTAAGTGTTTGTTTTGGTTGATTAATGTTTTTGAACTTTAGTCAATGTTTGTTTATGTTATAACAATCTATACTTCACTTTCAAAGTTATATCTATCCTTTAGTTTCACGATTTCAATCTTTCTGATTTGACAGAAAAAATTACCCATCTAGTATATTTCTCAATTTCTTCCCACTAAATAGATGTCTATTTATTTGTTTTATGTTGTTGCATGTATATTATTATGCTATTATCTAGCGTGGAAATCATTTATTCTTTCCAAATAATACATAGCTTTCATGTACAACCAACATGGCCTATTGGTGATGATTTAGAATTTAAGCACCTTAAATTGAAGTTGCTTTAGGCTTGAATCTTAAATGCTTCTGGCCGATGATCCACCGGTCAAAAAAAAAAAAACACTCGCACGGATGCTTAAATTAAAATTGTGCAACAGCTTATTAATTACTTCTCAAACATTGCGGCCAAGATATTATTAGTTGAAGATTTAAGAAGACATTTTCAAGACAATCTTTTAATATCATATGTGTCATAAAAATAATGGGTCAGCTACTCAACTTATCAAATAAGGCAGTAAGGCTGCATCAATAAACCACTGACATTAGGTACTATGAAAATTAAATTATACATAATCATATTATACGATTCGGCTATATGGTACAATTAAATTATACATAATCATGTTATACGATTTGTGGTCAATAATATTATACTATCTTGAGATTGTTTACTAAGGCACGTAGGTAAGTTACCTAAGGTAACTGTGATATGATCTAAATGTCAATTTTTTTTAAACCAATATTGTTATATCTATTTATTTATTTATTTTTAAATAAATCAATGTCGTCAATAACCTAATAATTTAAATGTAATTTTTTGTTTGTTCATTTTTTTATAACGGTTGAAAGATTATGGGTAATAAAAAAAAAATCCGGGTTTTCTGGTTCTAAACCCATTTGACCCGGTTCTATTTTACCCACTTTCCTATTTCCGGGTTTTTCGGTTCTAGACCCACTTTACCCGGAACCAAACCCGGAACCGAACCGGACCCGGTTCCTATATACCGGTCCGGTTTCCGGTTCTTAAAAATATCGTTAAACGGTTCCGGGTTTTCCGGGTCCGGGTCCATGGGGTCCGGGTTTGGACCCACTTTCATCCCTAGAACACCCATCAGTGGTGGTCGTCAGTCTTCATCTTCCCCACTGCCATGACTTTGGATTAAAATTGCAACCAAAATTCGTATGGAATCGCAAAGGGCCCGAAGATCTTAATCATTTTGTATGGAATCGCAAATGGTGTTTTGAGTTTTGGGTTTCAAGCATAGCATTTAGTGTTTATACAAGCATTGCAATGGGTGTTTCGAGTTTTGGATTTCAAGCAGATTTCAAGCATAGCATTTAGTGTGTGTTTTCTTGAGAGAGAGAGAGAGAGAGAGAGAGAGAGAGAGAGAGAGAGAGAGAGAGAGAGAGAGAGAGAGAGAGAGAGAGAGAGAGAGAGAGAGCTCTTTTGTTATTTAATTATTATTAAAATAAATTAAAATAAATAAATAAATATTTATTAATTTTGTCTAGTTTAAATTCCAAATCATTTGGCAAAAAGTACGAACTAAAAAATGGAATTGAAATCCTAACCAACAAAAATACTATAAACGTTTGAGGTAAAAGATTTATTTTCTAAGTTTATCTGTTATTCTGCCCTGAATGTTTTTTTTTCAGACCCTCTTGTGTAAAATTTTAATTACAAATTTACCCAATAAACCAGATTTTAACCGTCTCCTCCAATCGCAAATACCACTTCGATCACAATTCTCCCGCTGGAAACCAGAGAAAAGGTGATCAACCCAGTCTGAGATCGGAGAAACAAAATACTGTTTTTGCATTCAAAATCGAATGAACATTTATATATACACGATGATGGAATCGACACATTCTTCCAAGAACCGTCGTAACTTTATAATCCGACGACGCGCCTCCTCGAACCACCACCACAACCAAGTCCCTTGTCGTTTGCCGCCGTTTTACACCCTTTATATTTCCCCGAAGCGACGATCAATCTTCCATCAGATTATCAACTACTGGGTATCTGTTCATCTATAACCACATAACTTTTTTTCACCAAAATGGCGCCCAGGAAGAACAAGAACAAGATCCACGATGAAGGTGAACCCTCTGCCGCTGCAAACAAAAGGAGGAGGATTGAACTTCTGAATAGTACGACTGGTGTGCCGTTTACAAACCCTATCACTCAATTCCCATCAATTCATCTTCTCCATCAACACTCCCGCAATTCTCCACGAACCACCGCCGCAATCGACACCGATCTGCAACTGTCTCCTCCAGAACCAATTCCTCCGGACGAAAGTGCGACTGCTGATGATCATCTTCTGTCTTCTTTAGTAGGACAACAAAACTTCCTTATCGGTTACCATGTAAACACCTTTCTCTTTTACATATATCTAAGTTGATTTTTTTTGTCAATCTATCACTTATGGGATATTCGTATTCATGAAGATCAACCAGAGGATGCTAAGCGTGGAGGAATTCTGGCGGAGAAACTTTGCGGAAGAAGTGAAAAAGAGGAAGGAGATTGAAGAAAAGATAAAAGTGAAAGACGAACAGGCTGTTCGATTTAGACAAATGTACCATTTCTATGAGGAAAGGGCGTTTCTCTTGGAGGATATGCTTCAGCGGAAGGTCGCCGGTGAGGGGTGCAGCACTGCCGCCACCGCCGCCGTTGCAGAGGAGCAAGTTGAATCTTGTTTTGTTGATCTGAACAGCGTCCCAAGAAAGGATATGGCATGCAGGAACTGCCGGAGTCGGCCTGCAACCATGTTGTGGCTTCCATGCCGGCATTTGTGCGTATGTCTGGTGTGTGAGAGAAGGGTTAAGATATGTCCGATATGCGGTGTTCAGAAAACAGAAAGTTTAATGATTAATTTGCCTCCACCCTGAGAGAGAAGACGGTTTCTCTCCTATTAAAAATTAAAAATTAAAAATTAAAAATTAAAAATATGTACTAAATATCGTACCACTTATTATTTTACACTTTTTAAATGAATTATGATATTTAACTATTTTAAATGAACTAAATATTAAATGTTTCTTATTTAAACGGTATTTTTTTAGACTTTTTTTTTCTTTAAATAAGAAAGGTTTGGACACTTTAACGAAAACAAATAAATTCAAAAACAAAATATATTTTCTTGCAATGTTTTGTAAAACTTGAAAAACTGGGGATATATTTAATTGGAACTTTTAGATGTATTTTTGGCCAATGATTTTGGGTGGAAATGTGATGTACATGGTTGTAATATTGAAAAGCAAATGCATTGATGGGTATTATTTTTGTTTTTGCCACATCTGTTAGTTATGAACCCAACTTTTACATCGCACATATATTCATTACATTCCACCATATCCCATTTCCCGACAACACCTAAATGATGTCCAAATTGTTCTTTATTTAAATATAATACAGCTCATCAACAACATTATCATCAAAGGTGGTTCAAGACATCATATAATTTATGAACAAATTGTTTGAATAGAATGAACTTCCAACCAAACAAAGCTTATGACCAGTTTTTAAGCTATAATTCAGCTGAAAAATGAGCATCAATTCATCTTGTTCATTAATATTACACTTAGGTGGGGTGACAAAGTAAGATTGAACATGGGTAGTTCCAAGTTTTGTGTACAATTAAATATAATTCTGTAAGTTTGTTCACAGCAAACTGTTTTTCTGATTTCAAAAGCACTATCACGCATTAATGCAACAAATGCTTCAACATGCTATAAAAAGTTTGTTTTGATAAATAACTATATAACGTTGTAACATAGTCGTGCATACTATTGTCCAAATTCATCCGGTATTATAACCATCAACTAAAATTAACGTAACTTATGACAAATAGTTCAATAAAAACCAAGTTTGTATATATGTTGTTATGTCCGTATATCTAGAAATAAAAGTTACCATAATAACATTACTGAACGAGTTAGTAATTAACTTATGACTAGAATAATTCCAGAAAAACCAAGTTTGCATTTGATATTCTGGAAATAGTTTTATTATAACATTTCTGAATAAAAAATATGAAATTTATTAGTATGCGACTAGATCAAGAGATGTAAAAGATCTTTGTCTCAAGGTAATGGCAGATTGATCAGGAAACTTTCAGTTTTCTTAGCACCACAAATGGGGCAGATCTTAACCCTCCTCTCACACACCAAACACACGCACAAGTGCCGGCATGGAAGCCACAGCATAGTTGCACGCCGACTCCGGCAGTTCCTGCAAGCCATGTCCGTTTTAGACGCACTGCTCGGATCAACAAAAATTGATTCAACTTCTTCCTCACGAACAGCAGCAGCCGGGGTGCTGCATCCCTCTGCCACCCTACGCTGCAGCATTTCTTCCAACCGGAACGTCCTTTCCTCATAGAAATGGTACAGTTGTCTTAACCGATCCACCACTTCTTCTTTCTGTTTTAGTTTTGCTTCGATCTCCTGTCTCTTTTTAACTTCTTCTCCAAAGTTTCTCCGCCAGAATTCCTCCACGCTCAGTCGCATCTGGTTGATCTGCATCAACATGAAAACGCATGCATAAGTAAATGATTAACAACAAAACCAATTAACTGCAAAAGAGAAAAGTTATTTACATGATAGCCGATAAGGAAGTTTTGTGGTGGTAATAAAGAATTGAAATGATCTTCGTCTACAGCCGCTTCTTCGTCCTGATGTGTTGCTGATGGTGGAGAGAGGTTCAGATCGGTGTGGATAACGGTGGTTTGTGGTGGCGGAGTGCGTTGTTGTTGCAGAAGATCAAGGGATGGAAATTGGGAGATTGGGTTCGTAAAAGGCACCCCGGTTGTAGTATTCATAAGTTCAATTCTTCTCCGTTTGTTTGCAGCGGCAGCGCAGTGGGCATCATCGTTAATTTTCTTCTTGTTCTTCCGGGGCGCCATGTTGCAAACAGAAAAGTTATGTGGAACGAGGAAATAGATGAAATGAACAGACACGCAGACGATAACTTTATGAAACTTTGGTGGTGGCATTGGGGATAATAAAGGATGTGAAACGGCGGCAAATGACGTGTAAGGCGACGGTGGTGGTGGTTCAAGGAGACGCGTCGGATTAGCAAGTCACGACGGTTCTTAACAGTTGTGTCGATTCCATGATCACTTTGTGTAACAATCACAAACTTGATGAGTAGAATAGTGTATTTTTCGTCTGATTTGAGAAAAAAAAACAACACATTTTTTGTCAGGTTTTCCGGCAGGCGTAATACGATAAAGTGGGTGTATGGGGTGGTTTTGTCATCGGAGAAGAAAGTGCTTTGGTAAAAGTCATTGTGAAATCGATAAGAAAATAAAATTCTTTATTATTTTCTCAAAATTGTTCAAGTCGATAGAACTGTTCCTGTGTTCCATACTTCTACTATATAATATTAAGTAAGTTTTGGGTAATATACAATCTAAATTTCGTAAATTTGATATCATTGATTTTATGATTGGCTTACCTATGGTTTTGATTTATTTTTGTCAAGATCAATGGCGGCAAGGTTCATGATGGCTCGTGTTTCCCTCTCTAAAATCCATCATCTTTCTCAAGAAACACATTTTTTGCCGCAAGGTTCACAACGACTCTAACCTCAAGATCCGACCTATATATACCTCTTTCCTTCATCTGTCAATTTCAATATCTTTTATGCGTCGATCTATTTCCCTGTCTTTCCCCTCTGTTTCTCTCGTTTGATTTGCAGGTGGGTAACTTAAATTATGAAGACGAGCCAATGCATATCCTCTGTTTCTCTCCTTTGATCATGAAGACCATGGAGCTCTTCTTTTTATCTTGTTTGATTTGCAGGTGTGTATCAGGTGAGATGATGGGGGGTTTGATTTCTGATGAAGATGAACCAGTACATACCCAGAATCCAAAAGAACATTGATTTCAAGATCAACCATTTTAGTTGAAAAACCGATGCATCAAAAGCTTTATTCAGCTTTGAATCAAGTTAGAACCTTGCCCTAATCCCTAATTACAATTCATCTATGTCCTCCATGGTATCGCCTTTTGGTTGTCAAACTCACAAGTGGGTGCCCAAATTTGGTAAACGTTAATGTGAAGAAGTGTTGTGGAGTCACCGATTATGGTGTTGGTGGTTTAAGGGTTAGTTAGGACTCATGAGTGTAAAGATGCCACTAGTGATGATGGGGTGGAGAACCCTCCTGCCGCCAGCCAAAGTGGCAGTGCTAGTAATGACTCATCAATGTAACACTCCAAATCAGGTACACCATCGAAACCCTTGAAAGTGAATTAATTGGCAAAAATGGTCCCTCTCGTACGCTGGGAATACCTAAGGGTACGCTTAGCGTACTATGGGAGAAGGATCGTGAAGAAGCCTTGCGTACGTGGGGCGTACGTAAGGGTAAGTCGGGTGTACACAACAGAGGGCCAAAACCCTAAATCTCGGACTTGACCCCTTTTAAACACCTTTTAGCCTCTTGGACAAAACCCTATCAGTCTCTTTAGCCTCATTTCATCCACCTTCAGCTGAGATATTGTGTGAGAGGGTTTTAAGCTTAAGGAGTGGGTTTTTGTGGCTATTTTAGAGTTCATTCAAGAAGAAGGAATTGCTAAGCAAGCTTGGTGTGGTTTGGTGTTTCAAGAATCTGCATCTAGGTCACTTTGCAAAGCTTCTGAAGGTATAAAGCTTTGACCTTGCCATATTATTCAATTGATTTAGCTAGGGTTTTCTAGTTCTGTCCCTTTGGTTGATTTTGGGCCTCCTCTTGTGATTTAAGCAACTCCATAGGATGGAAACGACAGATCTGAGGCCCCTTGGTCCTTTTGCAACATAAAAATGGAGTCTTGGTGGCCGTTTTGACCTCATGCATGGGTTAAGAACCTTAGAAAGGTCTTAATGGGGGTGTTGGGAACAGATGAAGCATGCAAAGGTATAAAGTTTCAAACTTTATGCCCTAGGTCGTCTTAATAAGCATAGATCTGACCTTTGGAAGTAAAAGAATCGAGTATTAAGCACTTAATGGAAAAAGTGCTTAATTTGTTAGTACGTTGGGCGTAAGCCACTGTACGCTGTGCGTAAGTCCCAGAGCCCCGGTACGTTGCGCGTACCAGGGTGGTATGCTAAGAATACGCATCACAGGTGGGCTTGGATCTATTTTGGGCCTTTGAGCTGTTGTGCCTCATTTGGTTATTAGACTTGGTTGCATTCTGCGAATAGTGGGCCATTTTATATGTATTTGGCCATTGGAGTTTGGTAATGTCTTATTGGGCCAAGAGGCCCATTAATGATTTTTGGACATGGAATTTGGGTCCATTAACAAAGAAAAGATAATTGGCCCATTAATTTAAGCATGCTCAGGTGGGAGTAGTACCGGGATGGGTGACCCCATGGGAAGTCCTTGTGCTGAAAGCCCAAAGCGGATAATATTGTGATACATGCTAGAGGGGGTGTTATAGATGGTATCAGAGCCTTGGTTTGAGGGATTTGGGCACATCCTCGGTGTGTGTCAGGACTCAAACTAAGTAAATGGTAAAAATGTTTTCAAAAATAACATAAATGGTTTTAAAAGAATTGAAAAGATGAGAGTGCAACGTGCACGATCTTTCGAGCCAAGTAAGTAGTTCCCTAATATGTTAACCATGTTATACTGATATTTGAGCTTTGTTGATTATATGGAACTTGCTATGTGTATGCTTTTAAAATTGTACACAATTAGGAGCTTATAGCCTCAGAATGATTGATTTGACATTATTTCCTATTCTTTGTCTGGTTGTGGTCCTAAGGTAGAATTTGTTATTCTAAAGTCTATTCAATCCTTTTCTGTATATAATTTGCATGCATAAAGGCAAACTGTTATGATTGATTAGATCAATATGAGTAGAGCAAATCTTAGGATAGCCTGAGATTTGATGTATGCGGTAGTTTGTGAGATATGGCTAGTTTTAGGATGGATTGAAGTAAGAAGGTAGAGCATTGGGGAAAGGTACAGATAGGTGTGGAAGGTAGTATTGGGCTCGTACTACTGAAAGCACAAGACCTGTACCTGAACCAATGTTAGACCTGACAACCTCAAGGCAGACCGGTGTGGGGAAGTCCCTTTTATGGAAATCCTGATCGTTGTGATTTATGACATTGCAGTTCAGCATGGTGGTGACATGATTTGCAGTAGGGGGATCAGGATCGGGATTTGGATCCGGGGATGGATCAGGCGACACTACCGGAGACATTGATGAGAGGCTGCGCGAGCTTATTGCAGCCGAGGTTACTAGGGGCATCCTTGATGCTACCCCAGTCATTTTTGGGACGGTCAAGGAGGGTATGATAGAGATTATGGAGGAGAGACTCGGGACATTCAGGGAAAGATTGTTGTGGGTCAGGTTGGGTCTTGAATTCCTTCATTATTAGCCGACGCTGGGTGGCGGATATTGAGAACGCCCATCGCACGAGTTCTTTCCTGGATGTGGCAAATGTGGGATTTGCTTCTTGTATGCTAAGGGACGGGGCCTGAGATTGGTAGGGCGAGGTTACCTTCCAGGTAGGAGCAGTCGGTGTGGCTCAGATGACATGGGCCGAGTTCGTTCAATGATTTGATTTGGAGTTTGCACCAGCCATTATGGTGCAACGACTTGCGAGAGAGTTTCATGACCTGCAGCAGACCACCGAGATTGCGGCGGAGATCACTGCCAAGTTTTGGGAGCGAGCTTTGTTGATCCCACAGTACACTACCAATGAGGACATGTGAAGGACGAGATATCATTCCATGATGAGGGAGGATATCTGGGAGTTTGTGAGCTTTACAATGTGAAAAACCCTGAATGAAATGGTAGAGAAGACCCGAGAACGGGAGATGGAGTTGGACTTCCACACAAAGCGGAAGTCGGAGCAGGCTCAGATAGTAGGGGTCAGCAGGGTCGGGGCCGGTGTGCCAAGTGCAGTAGGGTGCACATTGGAGCTTGTCGTGTCTCGGGCTCGGGATGCTATGCATGTGGCCAACAGGGCCACTTGAGCAGGGACTGCCCCACGAGGAGCTTGATTTATTTTTACTGCAACCAGACCGGCCATAAGCGGGTCAACTGTTCAAGGTTGCAGGGAGGAGGAGGAGCGGCGGCAGCGCCTGCGCCCGCCACGTTGAGGATTACCGATGGCCGCCCTACCAAGGCGAATGTCCTAGCGGTGAAGAGTCGTGATTTTCAGTTGACCACCGAGGAGGCTCGGGCAGCGCCAGACGTTGTGGCTAGTACATATCTTTTATTCTCTGCTACTTATGATTTGTATGACTTATGTGTATATTATGCTTGTATAGGGACCTTCTTGGTCAATGGTATGCCGGCGCATGTTTTGTTTGATTCGGGTGCTACCCGATCGTTCGTGTTTCTTGCACTTAGCAAGAAGTTCCGAGGCGCACCTGGAACTCTGGATTCCCACTCGAGGTAGAGATTACAGATGACCGCACCGTTGGCACTGCAATGGTATATCGGGATTGTGTCCTGAATGTGCTTGGTGAAAGGTTTCGTATCGACCTAGTCCCGATACTGTTGCGGGGGTTAAAGGTGATTGTTGGGATGGATTGGTTGGGGGCCAACAGGGCCATGATTGATTGCGAGCACCAGTTAGTGAGGGTTCGAATCCCAAGTGGGGGAGAACTGGTCATACATGGTAAGAGGGCCTCGCAGGGGCCAACTCTCTGTTCGGCTGCGAAGGCTAGGAGATTTCTGCAGCAGGGTTGTACGAGATTTTTGGCTTATATCTTGGATACGAGGGTAGAGACCACGACGGATGTGAGTAATGTGCCGGTTGTACAGGACTTTCGGGATGTTTTCCCCGAAGAGCATCAGGCGGGTTCTCCTCGGTGTCAGGATCACGACACAACTAGCGAAGGCCCTCCAAGTAGAGCTCACCCAAATGAAGGAGAGAGGAAACATTTGTTTCCATGAACGTCTTCACAAAAGCTTGCATGCCCTGAGTCAGTTCCACCACAGTACTTGACTCCTACAGATCGAATTCCTGGAGGCCACCTGTTCCTACACCGCCTGCCTGCCTACCTCCCTCCACACCAGCTGCGACAAACGACAACTTCATATGTCGGACCCCAATTGAGAACTTATAACTCTCAATGACCCGATCAACTACCCGAACAATACCCTCCCAGAGAAACCACACCATATCCCCCTCCACAGTCTGCCTCTTGGATTCCCTAATAGCCAGTTGTCCAACCTGCTCCTTCACCTGCTCCTCCAATAATCCTTTCTCCTCCACCAGAGTATCCACTCTCTTCAAAAAACGCTCTACTGACCCATCCAAACTTGTAACTTGTTCCTCCACGTATGCTTTCTCACCAGCCAAAAGATCATAACACTCTTTAAATTTGCGCTTGTCATCCTCCAGCCCCGACACTCTCTCCCTTAGCTCATCCTGCTTGGCCCAAATAGAGGCAAGCTCCGCTAAATCTGAATTAACTTGACGGAGTCATCGAGTCGCAACCACTAAGAAAGGAGTAACTTGATTTGCTGCATAGTGTAGAATTTTGTACATATGAGAGTTAGAGAGGAACTTCAAGGCTTCGATAGTAGCAGGAGGGAATGTGTGGCATCCCCATTCATATGCAAATGGATGTTGCATTAGTAGGGACTCACGAGTGATCCCCCACTCAAGGACTAAGATTTCAGAGCCTGTCACATGCAAAGAAGAGGAACCTGCAACAGTGTCGTTTTTCATTGAAGGTGAAGCAGAGTCAGCATCGATTCTGGTGTCCGACGTAGCCATCATTTACTGATAACAAGTGCAAGACGAATGCGATAAGAAGCAAAGAAGATGAAGAGACAGTTGAAGAGTATGATAATGAAGAAAAGTAAACTGACCTCGATTAGGGAAGTTATAAATAAGAGGCAGGAAATTTGAATGGTCGCAATGATAAAACCGTATGCGCAGGTGACTCCGTTACATCAGTGGACATCAGATTCATCTCCACCAAACACGTGCCTGGATTTAAACAATAACAACCTATCTACCCAATAATAACGTTGACATTTGCTAGCCTAGGGGATTTATTAACGTATCCCTCTAGGAATACCTTAAAGATAACATGATAGTTATCTAAAGAACGACCTATCTAACGGCCGCTACCCAACATAAGTGTTAGGCCCAAGCCTTTGTCCTCATGGCCTCGTACTTAGGCCCCAACGTTCAAACGGTAAGGTCAACCTCAGAACAAGAGACTCGGGTCTATAACAAGCCAAAACAATACTAACACCTCCCCAGAGCAACAAGTGTAGCGCTCAGAGTGCTGCTCTTCGGTGGTCCTTCACCAATAGCAGATAATCGCTAGTGGTGCACAATCCGCCAATAAGACGCATCCACATCCTGACGGTCTAGACAAGACAAAAAGTATTGTCAGGGACATGCTCCCACGACGACAGGTATAAAAGAGATCATTCTTCTCCAGAAGAAATGATCGTCTCTCTCTATCTCAAACTAAACCCTAATTCTCTCATACAACTACTAACTAGACCGTCGGAGTCGCGTTCTGGGACCCCCTCCCGGACGATGACTAAAGGTGAGTCTTTTTTTGTTGTGATTCACAAGCTTAACTCAGGTGAAACCACCACTGATGGTGTTAAGCTCGTACCCATATCACAACAACAATGTTTCAGAATAGTGGTAAAATTGGCAAATACTCAAATGTTGGTTCAATTAACTATATTCTCAAGAATTAGAATCATGTAATCATTATTGTGATCATCCCAATAAAAAGTCTAAGCATGTTTAATATACAAAAAGAAAATCCGAAATAACCAAAATTGAACACACCGAATTCTTGGAATATTAATTTTTTACATAAACCCTACAAGTACATTGAGATGTAAAACTATTTGTACACTAGAAGAATTTAATCCTATGGCGACGACAGAAGTCGTTGTTGCAAGTACCCCTAACTTTGACAAAAAAATATATATATATTGATCGGAAAATCTATGCGAACGATATGTTGTCGCCATAGCTTCGACGGGAATGAAAATCAGGTTCACGGCTTTCTAAAAGCCTATACCGACGACATTTCATCGGTATAGATTTGGCCTATCCCGACGACAAGTTGTCAGCAAAAGCAATTAATAAAACTTTTTTTTTGAAAATAATTCCCGACGATACATGTGCCGACGACTTGTCGCCGGCATAGTGGGTACCTATCCGGACGATACCTATCACGACGACAATTTCCACCTATTGCGACAAGGCTATGCCGACGACATTGAGCCAATAACATGTCGCCTGTATAGGTTATGCCTACGACTTGTTATCGGGACAGGGTCAAAATGTGTCGCCGTCATAGGGTTAAATTGTAGTGATAGGCAGTCGGAAAAGGTGCCCCTCTCCAATGGGGGTTGGGGGTTTAAATCCGGCTTGTAGTTTATGATTGTGTTAATTAAGGGTTGTTTAATGAAAGATAAACTACTTGTGCCAACATTTTTAAGTTGATATTGTTGATTTAAAATATTGTTTCCAAAAATTCATAATATTAAATTCTACACAATTAGCTAGGCTAAGATATATTTTTCGTTGTTTGATTAAATATTTTGTTTACACATAAACTTGGTATCATTTATTATAAACCGTTTTGTCTTGAATATTAAATATATAGGTCTCATAAAATATAAGTCTTGCTATACTGTGAACAAATTAATTAATGTGAACAATAATAGTCTTTAAGAATTACATGTGATGTCAATTGTCAAGTTATTAATTTGTTAATAAGCACATTACGTACATTGATTCGATCATAGATCTTTGATCATCTTATAGGAAAGGCCTTGGACGACAAGACACTGTATGGTCCTTTAACCGGTGGAGGAGGCCCAAAAATCTCCCAAAACCGCAGCGTCTCATCCCCACCAGCCGACACCAATGTGAGTCCATCCGGGTTCTGAGCCAGCTGCAACACTCGCGATGAGTGGCTTGATAACTCCCCTGCTTTAACCATTGAAGGGTACCTCCATAGTGACAGCGTGTTCTTACGTTCATCATTTGTGCTGAACCCATGCCCACTTACTATCTCCTTATAATGTCTGTTCCATTCCAGCCCACAAATCTGCACATTAATTACTTTCCATGCATAAGAACCTTCCATGCATGCACAATGTAGAACTATATATTATTGGAAAGTGAAATGAAGAAATTAAAGAGTACTAGTGCATATACCTGTGCTTCTGTGTTGACACTAGTGATACAAGTCCCTTGTTGAGTGTTCCATAACTTAATGCAGCCATCGTCTGTGCCACCACCGGAGGCTAAGACTTGAAAGTTGTAAGGGCACCAAGCAAGAGCCTTGACTGCAGCCACATGGTTAGTGAAGCGGTGGACAAACCGGGCTGAGTTCATCCGTGATGCTTCCCAGATGTACACCACGTTATCATCACCACCACTAGCCAGTAAGTTCCCAGTCATTGACCATTTCAGCCCACACACTCGACTCCTATGCGCCTTTACTTCTGATACCAAACTGTTTCTCACCCTCGCTGCCAACCAAAATGCAATCTTTTTATTTTCAATCATATAATTTAATCTCGTATTTGCTATAAAATTATAAGAGTGTATTTTTTTTATTGGAAATCGAGGAATTGATATATAAAACAAAAAATCGACAAATACCATCATGGTTCAAGATAGCTTTGTTGCCGCCTGATGTTAAAATGTGGCCATTCCATGAAGTTGCTCTCACCATCGCGTGGTGACCTTCTAGTCTTCTGATCTGTGCAATATAAATGTAAGATTCTAAACTCAAAAGTCAAAACAATAAACAACCAAATTATAGCTTTGTACTTTTATTTGTTTTTTTTTTAGAATCTATTCAATTATATCAATGAAAATTGTTTTGTATTTTAATGATATTTTGCTATAATTGGTAGCCTTTTCAAAATGTAACGGTGTAATAAGAAATTTTGAAAATAAAATGTTTTTATAAACAAATAATTGAAAATATGTTGCTATTTTTATATTTAGCCCTATTTTCGATGTATAAAATAAGTGCAACAAATACTTGGCTACAATTTTATAATTTCTTTATAAAGGATTCACCTTTCTAAATATTATATTAACCTAGAGAATCAGTAGAGTAATTGTAAGTTGCAAGTAAAAGAGGGAAAGAGAGAATCGTACGAGTTTGCAAGTTTCGGCGTCCCAGAGCTGAATCTTGGAGCTTGAATGACCAACGGCGAGTGTTTTGCCGTCATGAGACCATGAAACGCTAGACGGATGATCATTCAAGGCGTTAGGTTTAAATATATGATGAAGCCCTTCATTCGCAGCGTTCCAGAGGTACAATCTTCGACCCAATGCAATCGCAAGAATGTTGTTCTTCCCCCAATCCATTATGTTCATGTAGAAATCATCCCTTAGATCTGGTGCATCCAGTATTCTTGATTCTTTCTGAACATAAAAACAACACAGTTGATGATGATCTTGAAAGAAAATTTCGTAAGCTATAAACAGAGATCGATCACCTTGGGAAGTTTTCTTTGTTGGTTTGAGGTGTTATTGTTGAAATTTTCTTCATCGCTACGACGGATTTCATCAATGTATCGGATTGATTTTCTACTTGATTTCGGGCTTCCTCTGAAAACAAGCATTCTGAAGGGTCTTCCTTCGCTATCCAACGTCAGATTCCCCTCCATTATTCTTCGGTATTCCGCCTGTTCCACAGAAAATTAATCAAAAACATGAAAAACCCTTTCAAGCACACTAAAAATCTGGAATGCCCATGTTCAAATTTCGAATCAATACTAAGAAGAACCCTCAAAATCCAGATTACCCGTTGACGAATTCCAATTTAAAATAGCATAAATTTGAAGCAAAAACCAATAAGGAAGACACAAACATGAAATATCTTGAAGAAATTTCAGAACAAAAAACTGGAACGGAAAAAAGACCAACACTAAAATTGCATCTGGTAGAAAAATTGGTTCTGTTGGTCAACAGGGTGTAGGCTTGATCAAGATCCATCAAACTCCTGTTGGGTATGAAACGATCGCCCTAAATTAACAACACCCAGAAATAAAAACCCCAATTAGCTTATCAAGAAGTGTTCGAAGTAATTGAGAAAGAATATTGAGGGCAGGTGGTTTACCGGAAAATCATATTCGACGGGGCTGTTATGGAGGCGAGTTGGAGAGTACCAATCCGATTGTAATTTCCAATCCCTTAAAGGGTCTGAATTCAATTCCAATTCCATCATTTCCGTATGATGGATGGAATTTGGGATCGGAAGAACATGAGAGTAGGAAGAAAGATCCTGTTGGTTGCTCATGAAATTGGCGCCAAAACTGGTTTGTAAAACAGAGTGTTTCACCTCGTGGGAAACTCCTGGTAGCCTTTATTTAGTTAAATCGGGGTGAAATTACTTCTTACACCTATAATTGTGTATGTATGTATATCCCCCAAAATAACTAGTATTATACATTTTTTTTTTGGGCAAAATACATAATAACACACGTTTTTATAAGTGATAATGACTTAAAAAAATAACCAATTATATATTTTATATATGTTTGGCATTTAACTTTTTTTTATGTACTGTTAACCCTTAAACTTGTTTTTTTTTTTTAATTTAAAACACACGATTATTACCTGCAGGGTCAGTCATAATGATACAAATACCCAGAACGAGCAGCAAAAAAATGTCTTTAGGTCATAACATATGATGAATTAAATTATATAAACTACAGTTTTTTTTAAACCATGATAAGTTTCATAAATTTGCTTTGTTCATGTGGAAGTATAAATATTTAGAGTAACAATGCAACCATTACAAATAATGGAATAGAATAATGGAATTGGATATGAATCATTACAGTATGTTCTGATATTATGGTTAAAAACATATAAAAATATTAATAATTAATAAAGAAAATAAGTCATCCTACCTAATGGAGCAAAGATGAATCGAGAGTCACATTGAACAGGAAAGAGTTCATGAGAGTACCCCCCCCCCCCCCCCCCCGGGGACGAAAAGGTTATTTTACTTTATATTCATTCACAAGTCACAATTAAACAAAAAAATAATTAGATAGCAATGTAATTTTACTTCATTGGATGGATAGTGATAAACACTAGTCTTAGACTAAGCATCATTGCCCCAACAATAGTTGCAAACAAAGGTAGAAGCAAAAAAACACAAAAGCTACAGTGCCCACAATACCTGGTGAAGGAAGGACAATTTGGTCAATTAACAACATTAATATGTTTCTGATGGGTTTTTGGTCATAAGACATCCTATGTGCTCATACAAACCCTAATGCTTGGATCTAGGTTTCTCTATTGTACATGCTTTTAATCCAAGACTATAAACCCTAATTCTAGCATACATATAATCATATTAACATGAGAATAAGTTTATAGTGTTACCTCGATTGTTATGTAGCAATAACAATCACAAATCTCCTTGTATTGACTTTGGAATGCTTAGAGTCACAAGTGTCACTCCTCTAATGGCTTACAAACACCATAAGCAAATGGAGAAGGTATAAAGAGAGAAGTGAGAGGTTAGAATTCGTATCTAGGACCTCTTGGGAAGGGATACACGAATTCATGGCCCTAGGGGTGTTTATATAGGTGTAGAGATAGGGTTTCAGTCATTATCCTTATCTAGTTGATTATCCATTAAGCAACCAATAAGATAATCCTTGAATCCTTATCATACTCTAATTCTAAGGGATTTACACCTCAAATCCGTTCACCATATATATAAGATAATTCTTACCTTATTTTGTAACTATCACATAATTACAAATCAGCCCCTCTAGTTTAATTAATTACATTTGATCACAAAACTAATTCTTAATTAATTATTGACCAATATTAATTAAACAAATATGATTTCTCCTTTAATATATTATTCTTATAACATATTAATAAATCATATTATCCTCTCTCTCTTTATTCATTTCTCCAATCAAGTTGCTTTGGTGAAGGCAACCCAAAAGGACCATGCACCATCGGGTCAAGTACATACCAAAATAGTTATGGACTTAGACACTAATCCAACAGTCTCCCACTTGGATAAGTCTAACAACTATTCTGCGTATGACTTCAGATCCTGATCTGCAATCGTAGCTTTCCAAAGCCGCTGTCAACTCTGATCATATCAGATACGCGTGTCCTTAGATAAGGGATCATATATTCCTCCATTCTAGATATCGTATGAGATATGATTTCTAATCATTCTCTTTGTACTATATCTCGATTTCCGATTTATGACGACAGACTAATTGAACAAATCAAATTAGCCTAGCCCGGCCGAGCATTTACGTATGTCATCACTAAACCATCGAGGGGCCCAAAGATATCGCTTTTATCCTACTTTGGATAAAAGGAACGGATAAACTTTGATACAATGCTCGCTTGCACTCACTCACCGAATTACACACAACAATATGTTTTATAACACCAAGTTACTAGTGCGTTTACATATTATCAATGTGCAACCGATTCGCAAGATACAACTCACACATCTCGGTTTCAAGAATATAAGATGTTATCGTCTCACTAATCACTCGTAATACAATTCATGGAGTGATCCAAGTGAGCGTGGGTTTAATCCAATGCTCAAATCATATTCATAAGCACTCATGAACGTTGCAGCAAACATTTGCTTATGTCTAATACTTTTCTAGACAATCCACACACCAATTCATGACAGTCTTCATTCATATCTACTTCCAACATATGAACGACTGTGGCCCGTTCGAATAATTCGATTATTCTTAATAAACTCAATTATTCTGGAAGTCAAAACATGCAAAGTGAAACACAAGAATAATACTAATCCCATATGGCCTCAAACCTTTGAGTATAAACAAAACACGTTTTATTTATCACCATATCGATTACTCATTATTTGTCGTTTCGGGTAATCAACTTCTTACTTGAATTATTACACTTGTCCCATGCTCCTAGCATGCACACAATGTTTACCTATGGTTCTTACTTTTGTGAAATAGACAAATTGAACACATTTCCAATCATTCTCATTTTACAACTCCAAATCCATTTTCTTAAGTGTAAGAATATCAAATTCTTGCTACTTATAGAATATGCTAGATTCTAACACTTTATGCAACGATCCTTTCGTAATGTCACTGCACCAAAGTCACAAAGACTATTGCCAATGATATTACAAAGTCCTCTATCGGAGATTGTTACAAGACAATTCCTTAGATATGATGTCTCTCTCTCAAAGTACATTCCTTTGAACATCCTTTTGCATAAAGTTTCTAATCTAGTCATAGATTTTCAATATTTACTTCCCAATATGGACACGCTTCCATATTTTCCATATGACAACTCATTTCTTAATAGAATCTTATCTATTCATAATGATGTCGATATTGTCCATCCAATATGGAAACATTTCCATATTTCCAATACTATACTTCCAACTACTCACAAGCGACCAATCCTCGTCGAACTTTGGATTGTCCTTTGATAGTTGTTTAATTATTTTAGTCAAAACCGATTCTAGTCCCTTTTCCCTCTAAATGCGCTAGACATTTGGAAAATTTTAGAATGGTCAAACATTAAAGCATTTGCAATCGATCCTATACCCGAAGCGTATGGGACACGATGCATAATGTTTTATTTGCTATGTTCTCAAAATTCGAATTGTGAAGAGGAATGCCGTAATCATAATCGAAATTTTAAGAACACACTATGTACCTTTGACTAAATTTATTAACATTCCACAACCTAATCCTTTAGATTTGAAATGAAGCATAATATTCTCTCCCTTAATTATAGCAAAACAACTTTCAACTCTTACAACTTTGCAAAGTATGACTCTTGTTTTCTATAATTAATATTGCCAACTATGCAATACGTGCCTTAATAATCATACAATCATAACATTTATGCTCCCACTATCATGATGATTATTATAAAACATAACACTTATGCTCCCACTAGCTTCGACATGTATTCATAAACATCTTAACTTTCAGAAAAACAATACTTATTGAATTTCTTAAGTTCATGTTTCTAATACTTAGTGCTTTGATAATCTTTTATCAAGGCTTCTTGAACTTATACACCTTTGCCTTAGATAGTTCATATGTGTGTCTAAACAATTAAGACTAATTGCCAAACCTCACAATTCAAATTATGGAAAGGGATACCGTAACCATGATCGAATTCGAGAATGCAATTTTACAATCACTATCTTTTAAAATCTTTCTTAGTGAAAGCATTTCCTCACAATCATTTTCATGAAGGAGGAAATCTTATGACACTTAGATTTAAACGGTGTATGTGTTCCTATCCATGTGAATTTGTTAAAACCAAAGTTTACGACAAATTCAAACTCATATGGATCGAACTTTCTTAATCTTGATTTCTTGCCTTATGGTAGCACAGCTGCCCACCACGTCTTCCAAGTAGTTAAGCAGCTCACCTTTTCCTATCAATGTACTTTCATTGATCAAGGTCCTTGCCTTTTATGCATTCAAATGAGAACTCATAGACTCACATGCATAATTAACTCGATTGGATTGGCACAGAAACAAAATAATGTTTCACGATAGGTTGTAAACCTCAACTCGTGTGCTAGTGATGATCGATAAGGTTTATTTGATTTGTTCTTGAAACCTTTCAAGACCATTAAGACTCCCACTGACTCCTTGACATATAAGATTCTCTTGTCAATAAACATTTGTTGACAACCAAATATTCAAGAGTTAGTGTAGCTTTTATCAAAACACTTCATAAATTGGTCCTAGTTGGTCTTTGTCTTATTCAAGACATCACAACTTTCCACATTTGATGAATGTTATAAACCTTTAATACTTTTCACTCATTGTCACAATCTTAACTTTAAGACTTGTTATTGGAACGAAGTATGATAGACTTCTTGATTTAACCATTTCTTCAATCCTTGATTCCTCTTCTTAAACATACAATTGTACTAAGACTCACTTAGAGGATCAATTGAGATATGGTTCTTAATCATTAAGACCTATCATAAAGCATAAAAGCTACTCTCCCTTCTTCTTAGAATGGAGAAACTTTTATCTTTCTGCCTACTTGATTCTTCTTATTCGTTCTACTATTGATCTAAACCCTTTAATCAATTAGAATTACACTTAATCTTGTAAGTATAATCATATTTACTAAGCCTTTAGTAAATCATGACGAATATCTTTGTTACTCTTATGGTGAACTTGATCAACACACAACTTTGTGTACTCGATCTCCTAGTCCTTCACTTGACACTTTGTCAACGAATTTGTCTAATTTCCAAATATGAAATTTCTCATTCATCATGCAACCAAGTTGCGTGATTCCAAATTTCTGTCCAATTGAAACTTTGGGCGA